TGCATGGGATAATTTCTGTTTTCTTGCATATACTTAAGCATGACCTATGGACTAGTATGTGGTCTATTTTAGAAAATGACCCATGTGCACTGAAAAAAATGTGTATTCAGCTGTGTTTGGGTGAACATTCTGTATATACCCACTAAGTCCATTTCTTCGAAGTTCTGGTTCAGTTCTGCTACTTCTTTGCTAATTTTTTGTCTGCTTGACCTATCTTTCTGGGATAAAGGAGTGTTAAGGTCTCCTGTTAAGATTGTGGTATTGGATATTACATTTTTCATGTCCATTAAGATTTGTCTTAAGTAATTGGATGCTCCTGTGTTTGGTGCATGCATATTTATGTTACCTCTTCCTCTTTGATTTTTCCCCTACCCAGTATGTAGTAGCATTCTTTATTTTGTTTGATCATTCCTGCTTTGAAGTTGAGACCGTCTGCAAAAAGGATTGCTACCCCTGCTTTTTTCTAAAGGGCTGGCGCATGTGGTATTGTTTTCCACTCTTTGACTATCAGCCAATGAATTTCTTTATGAGTTAAGTGTGTTTCTCATATTGTTGGATTTTGCTTCCCAACCCATGCTGCCAGTCTATTTATTTTAATTGGTGAATTGAGTCCATTTACATTGATGGCTATAATTGAGATGTATTGACTTATAATTGACATGTTATTTACCTGCTGTTGTTTATCATTTTTTCTCCTGTTTAATTGCTTGTCCTATTTCCTGGTTTCTTTCTGTTCTCATTCATGGACTTCTGGTCATTTTAGTCCCTCTCTAGAATATCTTTTAGTAGCCTGTGTAGGGTTGGCTTTGTCATCATGAAATTCTTTAGTTGTTCTTTGTCATGGAAATATTTTACTTCTCCATCAAACTTGAAAGTTTTGCAGAGTATAGTAGTCTGGGCTGGAATTTGTTTTCATAGAGACTCGGAGTATTCTCCTTTATGCTCTTCTTGACTTCATGGTTTGTGAAGAGAAGTCGGCCATTATTCTGATGGGTTTTCCTTTAAATGTGATGTTTCTTTTCTCTAGCAGCTTTTAGTATATTGTTCTTGTGCTAGATTTCTGAGATCTTGACTATTATATGTCTGGGTGTGTTTTTAGTTGGGTTGATGTTATTTGGAGTTCTATATGATTCGGTTACCCAAATGTCTGATTGTTTCCCCATATTTGGGAAGCTTTCTGCTATTACTTCTGCCCATATTCTTTTTACATCATTTGTATTGACTTCTTTCACATTAATGCCTATTAGTTTCATGTGGCTCATCGTTGCATTGTCTTGCAGAGATGAATTATTTTTTCTTGCATCCTAGTTGTTTTTTAAGAAATCTTTTCTTACCTTTTTACTAGCTGTGATGGTGTCTTCATATCTGAAACTCTATTTTCACTTTCATTCAAATGGTTTTGCAAGCTTGTGATTGAGAGTTTAAATTCCTCTATATCTCTTTTACTCTGCTTCATGTGATCTGTTTCTTTCCTATATTGCTTATTCAAGGCTTCCATCATTTTTCTATACTGCTCTAATTTTTATCAGTGTCTTCTTTAGAGTAGTTATTAGTTCTTTCATTATAATTATTCTTTCTTTTTTTAATTCAGAGATTATTTCTGATCTGATTTCTTCTGTTTCTGCAGTTGATTCTTTACTTGAAATGCTATTAATTCAGAGAGGTTTTCATCCCTGCTCTAGAGGCAGTGTCTACATCACCATGGCGACTGGACAGAAGTTGATGAGAGCTATTAGAGTTTTTGAATTTGGTGGACCAGAAGTGCTGAAACTCCAGTCAGATGTTGTCATGCCAGTTCCAAAAGAACATCAGGTTCTAATCAAAGTCCATGCATGTGGTATCAACCCCGTGGAGACATACATTAGCACTGGTACTTATATTAGAAAACCGCTTTTACCCTATACCCCTGGCACTGATGTGGCGGGGGTTATAGAATCCATTGGGAATAATGTGTCTGCTTTCAAGAAAGGTGACCGAGTCTTCACTAACAACACTATCTCAGGGGGCTACACAGAGTACGCTCTTGCTGAAGACCACACGGTGTATGCACTGCCCGACCAGCTGGACTTCAAGCAGGGCGCCGCCATCGGTATCCCGTACTTCACTGCCTGCCGTGCTCTGTTCCATAGTGCCCGTGTGAAAGCTGGAGAGAAAATTCTGGTTCATGGAGCCAGCGGAGGAGTTGGATTAGCAACATGCCAAATTGCTAGAGCTTACGGCTTACAGGTTTTGGGCACAGCTGGTAGTGAGGAGGGACGAAAGATTGTTTTGCAAAATGGAGCCCATGAAGTGTTTGATCACAAAGAAGCTGATTATATTAATAAAATCCAGAAATCTGTTGGTGAAAAAGGAATTGATGTGATTATTGAGATGTTGTCTAATGTAAACCTTAATAATGATTTGAAACTTCTGTCATATGGAGGACGAGTAATAGTCGTTGGTTGCAGAGGCTCAATTGAAATAAACCCGCGGGATACCATGGCAAAGGAGACTTCTATAATTGGAGTTGTGCTGTTTTCATCAACCAAGGAGGAATTTAAGCAGTTTGCATCAGTTCTTCAAGCAGGAATGGAGATTGGTTGGTTGAAGCCTGTGATAGGTTCTCAGTATCCACTGGAGAAGGTTGCCCAGGCTCATGAAAACATCATACATGGCAGTGGGACTGTTGGGAAAATGGTTCTTCTGATATGATGCTGCTTTTTTGGGCTTCCAGTGTAATTAGTAGATTTTGTGTCCTCCATGTAGCTTACATTGCCATTAGTAACATTTGTTTGATTCCGTGAATTTGACTTAACAAGATTATCCTTTAGGGGACAGGGACACTAAAGTCTGTTTCACAGATTACAATCCTTTTAATGCCTTTTATCTTAATCAAGGAGCCATCATAGTAGGAAAAACTGTGATGCGGTCACTTGGCATTGGTGTACATTCCAGAAATTCTTAACTGATTCTTGTTTAATTCTGTGCCATTGATTAACACATGCGAATTCAAAGTAAGATTGATTCCCAAGCCTCCTAATTTATATCCATTGTCCATTAATCAGTTCTGATTATCCCATAGCCAATGGGACTCCACTGACTTTCTGGACTGAAAAAAAAATCACCTTTCCAAACTAATCTCATTAATAGTTACTTGGAAGGGATGAATAAATAATGTACCAAGGAATTTATTGGTTATCCCAATGTTTCCCTAAATAGTAGAGAATTCACTGCATTGCTGTGTGG